AAGGTATCTTCAAATGACATATCTGATAAAGGTTTATTACCCCAAATATATAAAGAACCTATACAACTTAAGACCAGAAAACAAATAATCCAATTAAAGATAACCCAAGTAATCCAATTTTTAAAAATGAGCGAAAGACATGAACAGGCATTTCTCCAAAGAGGACATCCAGACGGCCAACAGACACGTGAAAAGATGCTCAACATCACTCATCATCAGGGAAATGCAAATCAAAAGTACAATAAGACATCACCTCACACCTGTCAGAATGGCTAAAATTAAACTAAAAAAAAAAACAAACAAACTAGAAAGAAGTGTTGGGACAAAAGTGGGGGAAAAGGAGCCCCTTTGAACTATTGGTGGGAATGCAAACCTGTGCAGCCATTCTGGAAAAAAATACAGAGTTCCCTCAAAAAGTTAAAAATAGAACTACCCTATGGCCCAGTCATTGCCCCACCGAAGACAGGGACACTCGTGCGAAGAGGTGCGTGGTCCCCTAAGTGTAGAGCAGCATCACTTACAAGAGCAAATTGTGGAAGCAGCTCGAGCGTCCGCGGACTGATGCAGCATGGCCAGGGCAGACGCGGCGGAGCCACAGCCAGGGGCGTCCAGAAACAGAAAACAGAAATCCAGACGTTCAACCATTTAAGGGAATGAAATCTTGCCATTTGCAATGACACGGATGGAGCTAAGGAGTATTGTGCTGAGTGAAAAAAGACGGAGAAAGACAAATACCATATAATTTCATTCATATGGGAAATTTAAGAAACAAACAAGCAAAGGGGGGGGGGGACGGAGAGAGAGAGAAACCAAGAAACAGAGCCGTGACCCCGGAGAACCGACGGTGACCCGAGAGGAAGTGGGCAGGGAGATGGGCTGAACCCAGTGATGGCGAGTCAGGGGCGCACTTTTCCCGAGGAGCCCAACAGCCCACGTCTGAGTTCCCTGGGCATCGGCCCGCCCAGGTGTGCGGCCACGGGTTTCCCAAGAACAAACAGAAAATCGGGTTTTGAATGACTCTGGCAGGTGCGGTTAGCGGCATCCTGGGGCCCCACCTTCAGTCACGGGCGCCTAGAGCCGGCGGCAGGGGCAGGGGACAGAGGGTAGACTGGCTGGCGGGGAAGGCCGCCGCCTTCTATCCGTCCGTCCCACTGGCCGCCCTCCCTGGCCGGCGCTTGCCCCACTCATTTTGCTTGAACAGCAGCTGCCGCCCCGGCAGAGGGCCTCCCGTGGGCCGTGGCCAGGCTCCGTGTGTCCGTCTGCATCAGAGACAGTCACTGTGTCCCCCGCTGGGGCAGGGACACGCAGAGAGGCGCGTGGCTCCTCCAGGTCGCACGGGCTGCCCGCGGGAAACTGGGCCGCAGCGCCTCGAACCCTTGGCTGCGCAGTCCCAGCACCCGGCGCTGCTCACTGTGCACGGAGGCGAGCTCAATCTGGAGCCCCGGGCTCCTCCTGCTGCCGGGAAGCCTGAGACCCCCTGGCTCCAGGGCTTTGCTACTGTTTCCACAAACAGATGAAGCCCCAAGCTGTGTTCCCCCGACGGGCAGCATCGACGTCCCCTGCGAACCGGTTAGACATCTGCCCTCTGGGCCCCACGCCTGACCCGCTGACCCACGAACTCAGAGGGCAAGGCCCCCGCGGCCACCCCGCCACGCAGGCGCTGCTCAAGCCCAAGAAGCGGGCTGAGGCGGGGACGCGGGGGAAAGGCCCCGACGGGCTCAGGTTCTCTCTCCTTCCCATTCCTTTTTGGAAAAGACCAGGCGATCATCGACCCCGATTTCGCCGGGGCTGCTGCTGCCGGTTGTGCAGCCTGATTTGCTGATCCGGCTACAGTGCTTTAGCCTCATTTCCGAATTCCTACTAATCCGATTCCAGCACTTCGGCACCTGTAGTGTTGATATAGTCTCTCTGTCTCTATTTTTTTTTTTGAGAGAGAGAGGGAGTGTGGGGGGTGGCACAGGAAGAGGGAGACAGAGAATGCCAAGCAGACTCCCCGCTGAGCGCAGAGCCTGACACAGGGCTTGATCCCATGACCCCAAGGTCAGGACCTGAACCGAAATCAAGACTCAGACGCTTAACCGACTGAGCCACCCAAGTGCCCCCACGGCCACTTTTAATCTGTGTGTGAAAGGCCAAGGAGGGTCTTGGGCTCGTGCAGACCCACCCCCACCCCCACCTTCCCAATCACCAGGAAAGGACTCGATGTGTCTCAGGGTTCGGTGATGGAACACACGCCGAGTGCCGAGGACTCCTGCCTGGCGTCCAGGCTCCAGATGAATGATGCACCCCTCCCCCTGACCGGTGTCCACATCCTCAGGCCCTGAACCTCTGGAGAGGTTGCCTTATATTCCAAAAAGACGTTACAGAGGTGACTAAGGATTTGCGACGCAGGGATTACCCTGGATTACCCAAGGCCACATAGTGACAAGGGGCCTCCTGAGGGGGAGGCAGGGAGAGAAGGCGCTGCACTGCGTGCTGCTCCAGAAACAGAGCGGGGGGGGGGATCCCCTGTATCCCCTCGAAGCAGGAGAAGGCAAGGAACCCACTCACCCCTAGAGCCTCCGAAGAGCCCTTCGTGGACTTGGCACCTCAGGCCTGTAGGAGAATAAACTTGTGTTGCTTCAAGCCGCTCCGTCTGTGCTGTTTGTTACAGCGGCAGTAGGAAACCCATACGCCGGCTTTCGGGCTTTTAACAAACCTGCGAGCTCCTTCCCAACACGGAGCCTCACGACTTCACCCCTTCGCACCTGCCCATGCACCTGGCTAGTCCCCCCTACACCCCGGCGCTCCCTTCGCTGGGGAAGACTCCCCTGACAGGTCGTGTCTCCATCCCCTCGTTATTGCGCCCCTTCACTTCAGGGCACCCCCAGTGTTCTCTCTCATGACCCACTGGCCCCCAGGGTCCTCAGCTCTGCAAATCTGTCCCCAACCTCACTCTGTCCTGTCCTGTATTTTTTTAAGAGCCCTCTCCTCCTCCTGCTGGAAGCCTTGTGATGTCAGTGCCTGGTGTTACCACGGCTCAAGGGATGTTTGTGGGATGGACGGGCGGCTGCCGGAGGTGTGAGGAAGGCCAGCCGGGTGCCAGCCCCCAGCTATCACTCGGGGCTCTTCTTCTGGCACCAGCCCCCTCACTCCCCCTCCTCTTCCTGCCACCGCTCGCTCAACAAACATGACTTGCATGTGCCAGGCTCGGACTTCAGGAAACTTTGAGTCCGGTCGGGAAGACGGGGTCATTGAGCAGACTCCCGGAGAAGTGGGCGATGGCTCTGGAGTGTGCTGAGGTCAACCTGGAGGAGGCCTGGAGCCAGCAGGTGTCCTTGAAAGGGACGGCCCAGAGTCTTCCTCTACTTTGAGTCACGTTATGTGTGGCCCAGAATCACAGCCAACCTCGCGCGCGCACACACGCCCCCGAGCCAGGCGCACGGCAGATGGCCACGTCCAGCTGGTCCCAGGGTTTCTGCTGCTGTTTCCTTGAAGAAACACAGGGCTGAGCTTGCTCTGCCACCAGCCCACCCGGGTTCAAATCCCAGCTCTTGGATTCATTCCCTGTGCAAACCCAGGCCAGCCCGGCAAGCCCTATTGTCTCCGTCCCCGGTTCCCACTTCTGTAAACAGAAATGATGCTTATAATCCCGCCCTCGGGGCACCTACCGCGGATGGTGGTAGCGACCAGTCAGTGAGATAATCTCATTTAGGCCCAGATTCTGGCCTTTACTGCTTGTTCAACCCAGAATAAATATTAACTTGGTTTTTTTTTTTTTTCTGGCCTTTATTATTTTTTTTTTCTCGATCATTTGCTAGAATGTGGTAGCAGGTGCCAAAAACGTAAGGCAAGGATTCCCGGAAGATACTTCCATTCATGTCTTTTTCTCCCGAGCAGAATAAACAACCGCTGGTTGTGGCAGATGTGAGATGGGCTGGCGGAGGCCGAGAACTGTACTGATGCCCTTCCACGGACGGACGGCCAGCTTCTAAAGGATGGACAGGCGGAGAGGTGACTTCCTCTCTGACGCTGGCAGGATTCTAGGGGGGCCCACTTCTCTCTGATTCAGAAGTGGGAGTAGCTGAGTTCTGGGAAGATTAAGAGGTCTTTGGGCATCGAGGTGGGTTGGGGTCTGGGACGGAGGTCCACCTTGGGGCAGGGATTTGGGGGAGCAGCTAGATGGAGGCTCAGAGTGTGGAACAGGACCGGGTCGTGGTTGAGTGGGGTGCAGCCCCCCAAGAGACAACGGTTCATTCGTTCGTCCAGCCGAGGATCACTCAGCGTCAGCAATACGCCACGCGTGGCGCTTACGGTTAACGCGGATAATCAGGGTGGAGGCAGAAGGCAGGGAAGGCGGTTTGGAGACAGCCCCGGCAGGCAAGGCAGATGCAGGCTGGCCATTCCAGTCAGAGGCTGGACTCCACCAGGGGACCCCATCCTGGGCGAGGACAGCACCATGTCCCTGCGCCAGGGCAGGTCCCCGGTTCTCCTGTCGCACGGGGGGTGCCATCCTCACTCTGCAGCACTCACTGACTCCCCCTCCTCAAACTCGGAAAAGGTTTGAGAGCTCAGAGGTGGAAGGGACATGCTGTGTGTCTTCCCTCCCTCTGAGCCCTGGGTTCAGTGCACGCCCGGGGTCGGGGGGGGGGACCCCGACGGCCTCTCCTGCAGGGACATCTGCTCTCCCGTGGAGTTCCTCAGTGGGTCTCCTAGTCGGCTCCCCCCCTGTATGGACCTGGCGCTCCTGGAGGGTACGCACCACGCTGTGAGAACCCGCCCGAGCCATGTTACCTCGCTGGGCCTCAGTTTCCCCTCATGAGAACCGAGGGAGAGGCCCTCTGACATTCTGCAGAATTCCTCATACACACGACACTCCAATCCGCCCAAGAGCTTTAATTGTGGGATGGAAAAGAAAGGAACCCGAGGGTTTGGAGGCGGGTGGGAGCGCGCCTGGGCCGGATTCAATGCCCCGGGGGCTCCGGTGGGTTCTGGCCGCACTGCCCGTGGCGTGGCAGTTGTCAGAGGCGCGGGACAGGGTGCAGGCGAGGGGGGGGCACGGGGATGGCATGCTCCCGCCGGGACATAGCACACACGGGCGGGCTGGGGTAGGATGAGGTGTAAATGCTCTCCCACGGGGCAGCCTTGGGTGCCAGCCACCTCCGCTTCAGCTGTTCGTAGAGTCCATAGTTTGTAGGGGGAGCTGCAAGAGAAAGCAGGGTGTGGGTGGACAGGGCGCGGGCTGGCCAGGGGACCGTGCGGTGCGGGCTCCAGGGGGAGGAGGGCTCGCGGGGGAGGCGGCTCAGGCGGGGCTCACTCCCCGCTGGTCCTCGGAGAGGTGACCCCCGACTGGTCGGGATGGCCCTGTGGGCTCCTGGGGAGCCGCGCTACCCCAGTCCAGGCTCGGGAGACCGAGCCCCAAGAGAAAGCCCTGCAGGAGCAGTGCGCAGCGACAGGCAGCTCACCGTGGAGCCCGGTCCCTCTGCATCGAGGGCGGAGCCCCGGCAGCTGATGCAAAGAATGAGGGCGCCGGCGTGTCAAGCGGATGGAGGCGCCCTCTTATCAAAACCCCTTGCTGCTGGAAGGACCAAATCCACACTCCTGCTCCCTCCACCTCAACCCACTGGAATGACAACTCCCCAAAGGCAGGAATTCCTCCCTGCTCATCACTCTCCGTCCCCAGGTGCCACATCAGGGCAGGGCACCTGGAGGTAATAGTCACTATGCCAAGATGACTGATCTGAGGGCAGGGATGCCGCTCCCGCCACCTGTGCTCCGGGTAAACCGTGCTACCGTGGTGCCCAGCGAGGCCTTCACCCCCGGGCCCCTCGGGTCGGGCCCCTGTGCTCGGCCTGGACGCCGTGGCCCCTCGTGTCCCCGCACACGGCGAGTACCGAGAAGGGGGAAGTCCGATCTCTCCGGGAGCCACAGCAACTGGTGCCCGTTCCAGGTGCGCCGTGCGGGCAGCGCCGGGTTGTGACTACGCCGGTTGTAATGGTCGTCGTACGTGCTGATCAGATGGCGGCGGCAGGGCTCCTGGTGACCTGCCAGCAGGTGTCTGTGCGGGAGGCCCTGGAGGGACAGGCGCAGGGGCTGTTACCCGGGGCCAGGCATCCCCATGGCGGTGGCCGCTGGGGGTGTCGCCGCCTGGACCCTTGGGGCCACCGCACGGGACACGCAGCTGCCCAGCCCACCGCCACCCAGCTCACCTGCCACACACACATCCCAGCTTAGCCGCGCTCAGCTCTCCGTCTGGGGACCCCCAACCCAGGCCAAGTGGGTTCATCCCTGGAACAGGCTGCCGGGGGCCCGCCAGAAAGAAAGGAGGACACGCAGCTGAACGGGAGGGTCGGGGTCACCCCACCGCGGCCCTTGGGGCTGCAACTACACCCTCTGACTTGTCTCTAGCCTCCTCCATCCGAGTGCCCATTTCCATGGCGGGTGCAAGACGTTGAATACAGAGCCTGGCATGTGCACCTTGTACTGCAGTCAGTTGCTGTGGGAAGAGTCAGAGAACGGCCCATAAATCGCCTTCTCCTGCAAAGGATTTATGGCTCCCTCCGCTGGAAACTTCTCTGGTGGGAGTTATTTACAAGGAGAAGAAAGCCGCGTCCTCCTTACTCTGGGACGTTTGCCTGCTTCAGTGCTTTTCCTAAGAAAATCCTCTTGGCCCTGGAAGGGAATCTTGGAGGCCTGGGCTGATTTACAGGGGAGGATAATGTGGATTTCCATGCCTGTGCTCCTGTCTGGAGCAAACAGGGAGGTCTGTGTCTGCCGTGGTCTGGAAGTGCCGCCTGCACATAATATTTCAAGTGGTGGTTCCATAAATAAGTCAGATCACAATGCCAAAGGGAGACGAGGGGGACAGGCACAGACATTAGGCAGGGGTTCCCAAGATCCACATCACCAGGTGCCCGGAGTGGGTTTCCAATGCCCGGGAAGGCAAGTTGGAGGGGTTCCCAGGAACCAAGGGACGTGCTGACGAGGTGTCACGGCAGGGAAGAGAGAGAGGGATTTTCATGCTGCTCTTCCTGATCCAGGGCTTGGCCCTGCTGTCTCGGTTATGGGGCTAGGATTTCTGTTCTGATGAGACATGGTTAGGTGACGGGTAGAGAGACAACTGCCTTTGAAAGAAGCGATCTTGAAAGTTTATTAGTTTCCGTTCCCCAGAGGAGGGGGCCCGCTGCACCCCACAGGGCCACAGAGGGCAGCGCCAGGCTCACGGAAGGAGCAGGAGAGACAGAGAGACGAGAGAGAGAGAGAGAGAGAGAGAGAGAGAGAGCGCATGGCCCGGGGCGTCCATGTGGTTTCCAAGGAAAGGAACAGGTGAGGCAGGGTAGGGAGGTTGAGACGGTTAGGATTGCGGCGTTTGAATGATTTCAGCAGGCTCTGGGTTAAAGGGGTGACTCTGGTTGTAGGTGCCCGGCCCTGCAGTGATTTAGGGCAAAGGGATGTTGGCTTGTCATGTGAGCCTTACACAAAAGAGGTGGGTGTGGGCTCTGGATTGGTTGGCCTGTATCCCAAAGGTGTGCCTCCGGGCAGGCTGTTTACTGTCTGTAGGAACTCGCTAGCCCCGGGAGGGCAGTCTGGCCAGGATTAGCACGGCCCCTAAGACATCAAACCATCTAAAATACAGAACATAAAAAAATGCGATGAATATACCTGCCTGGGGCGGGGAGCACAGGGAAGGGGTCCTCTGGGGGATGCTAACCCCGTCTAGTCTATCTCGATTTAAGGGGCGCATCAGCGTTTGGCCAGGAAGGAAGTGCAAAGCGGGGATGGGGACCGGGTGTCGCAGGAGGAAGGGCTGAGTGAAGCCGAGCGACATCCAGGGTCTCCCGGCACACAGATTTGAACGGAGTCCTTCGAAGTGAATATCTGATTGCGTGGCTCTATTTTGTGTATGTGCTGGGGGGGGGGAGTCCTTAATTTTAATCAGATTATGTAAGGATTTATTTATTCACTATTTTAGAGAGAGAGAGCAGGGGGAGAGAGAGAGGGAGAATGTTAAGCAGACTCCCCGCCGAGCGCAGAGCCCAACTCGGGGCTCGGTCTCAGCCACCCCGCAATCACGACCTGAGCCGAAACCAGGGTTCAGATGCTTAACCGCCTCAGCCACCAGGCGCCCCTTAACCGGATTCTATATACGTGTGTGTGGTTATCTCCTCATCAGGGGTCTGTAATGAGTCCAGAGGGCACTAATGTGTATTGAGAACTAGGCCGAGAGCCTCATATATACCGATGCTTGGGCACCGGGAGCCCCAGATCCTGGGTTCTTATCCTGACTTCCTCACGTTAACGCGCGTTTGTGCCTTCAGCGCACACTAATGGTAAAGATCGGCAGCCGCAGAGCGTCAGCGCGACCCGGGGATGTCGGTGCCATCCGGAGATGCCAGCTCGGGGCTGAAACTTGGGCGCTGTTTATACGGAGACGGCTCCCAAACGCAGGCGGCAGAGAGGCGACCCCAGCAGACCAGGAGGGGGGATTCGAGGACACTTCCTGAGTGATTTGCCCATCAGCCACCTGCTTAGCCCCTTACCCACCAGCTACACAGTCTGGGACAAGACATCTGCCTCACCCGGGGCACTTTTTACTTGAAAATGAGGGTGCTGGGAGCGGAACAATCTCCTGGGTCCCTTCCAGCTCCAAACTGCTCCCCTTCCAACAATGTCCACCCTGAGTTTAGGCAGGTATGGGGGTGGGGGCGGGGTGGGGCAGGTGTGTCCTGAGGTCGCAGTGGCTGCTTCCTGCTGGGGGGGGGGGGCTGCAACACAGCGGCTCACAGCCTGGCACTCCGTTTTTATTTATTATTATTATGTTTGTATTATTTTTTATTGGGGTTCGATTTGCCAACATATAGTATAACACCCAGTGCTCATCCCATCACGTGCCCTCCTCAGGGGGAATGGTCCTTGACTTTTTATACAAAAGGCCAGGGCAACCCCGGGTGGCTCAGTGGTTTAGCGCCGCCTGCAGCCCAAGGTGTGACCCTGGAGTCCTGGGATCCCTGCAGGGAGCCTGCTTCTCCCTCTGCCTGTGTCTCTGCCTCTCTCTCTCTGTCTCTCATGAATAGATAAATGTTAAAAATCTTAAAAAAAAAAAAAAAGGCCAGGAAGCTGGGGCACAGATGATACAAAATACTCCCATCCAAGCATCACCTCACCTCCCGGAGGGCCTTATGGGATCCCCCACCGTGTTCCCCTCCATTGTTTGTTGCTTTGGTCCCTACACCCTTTACCTACACCCTGTTGGGAGAGTGTGGAGGAACAAGGAGGGGACCCGGGAAGTGCTGGGACAGGGCAGGGGGAAGGCTACCAGCCTGAGATTTGGCGGATCCTAAATAAAGGTGAGGCCATCTGCAGCCCCCGGGTTGGGGAGTGCTGGGGACTACTCCCCTGCCCCTAGGGTGGGACAGAGCTGGCAGGTGGTGTCTCCTGAGCGCTGGGGGAGCCCAGGCCCGAGTGTGGGGCCCCCACTCCTCTTACCTCAACTCTCCTCTTGCCATACCACCTGGAGATCTGGTCCGGCCTGTGGCCTGCGAAGGGCACATACTCTTTTCTGTAAATGCTCTGAGGTGTTTTCTCAGTGGCTTTGGTGAACTGGAAAAGATGAAATATTTAGGATGACTCATGCGACGCACCTTCTCACACGTCTGGCGCATCCCCTCCCCTCCGGGCTACAGGAAGCGGAGCCCAGGGCATCCTGCACAATGCAGGCTTCATTTTGCTCCCTCCCCTCCAGAGTTTGCAAAGGACCCTCGCTCAGGCACTGGGCACCCCATCCCTCAGGAAAGCTGTTCCTCGGGCACCTGACCATTCCTCATGTCTGCACCTGTTCCCTTCGACTTCTCTCTCCGTTTGCCCCTCCTGCTTGCCTCCTTCCTCTCTCTTGCTTCCCTGTTTTCCACTCTCCCCCACCCCCCATCTTTTGTTTCCTGGTTCACTTTTTAAAATTTTACTGTGGTCAAATATACATAACAAAATTTACCATTTTAATCATTTTTACATACAGAGTTCTGTAGCATGAAGTACACTACGTGGTTGTGCAACCATCATCATCATCTGTCTCCAGAACTTCTTCATCTTCTCAAACTCTGAACCCCTTAGACAGCTCCCTCCCGCAGCCCCTGGCACCCACCATTCTGCTTTCTGTCTCTACGAATTGGACCGCTCTAGGGACCCCATGCGAGTGGAATCATATACAGCGTCTGTCTTTTGATGCCTGGCTTATTTCACTTAGCATAGCGTCTTCGAGGTTTACCCCCATTGTAGCCTGTGTAAGAATTTTCTTCCTTTTAAAGGCTGAATAATGACTGCTTCATTGTATGCATGCGCTACGTTTTGCTTATCCATCCCACACTGTGAATACTGTGAGCATGGATGTGCGAATCTCTCTCTTCCAAATCCCACTTTCGGTTCTTTTGGGTATAAACCCAGAAATGGAATTGCTGGATCGTATGGCCATTCTACGCTTACTGTTTTTCAAGCAATTGCCATACTGTCCACCAGAGCAGGTGCACTGTTTTACATTCCCGCTGATCATGCACAAGGGTTCCAGTTTCTCCACGTCCTTCCCAACACCTGCTACTTTCTTTTTCTCTTTTTCTTTTTTTTTTTTTAACCATAGCCATCCTAATGTGTGCAAAGTGGTATCTTACGGTTTTGATTTGCTTTTCCCTAATGAATGGTGATGCTGGGCATCTTTTCATGTGCTTATTGTCCATTTGCATAACTTAGAGGAATATCTGTTCAAAAATTTTTCCCCCATTTTTAATCGTTTGGGTTTTTTTGTCGTTGAATTGTAGTTCTTTATATATCTTGGATATTAATCCTTTGTAATATACAAGATTTACAAGCATTTTCTCCCATTCCATGACTTACCGTTTCATTCTGTTGATACTGTTCTTTGATGCATAAAAGTCTTCAATTTTGAGTAAAATCCAATTGATCTATGTTTTCCTTTTGTTATCTATGATTTTGGTGTCCTCTCCAAAACAATCATTGCCAAATTCAATGTCACGAAGCTTTTCTCCTATGTTTTCTTCTAAGAGTTTTACAGTTTTAGCTAGGTTTTTGATCCATTTTGAATTAATTTTTCTATGTAGTATAAGGTAAGGGTCCAATTTCACTCTTTCACATTTGGTTATGCAGTTTTCTCAGCACCGTTAGTTGAAAAGACTGTCCTTTTGCCGTTGAACGATTTTGCCATCTCTGCTGAAATCATTTGGCCAGATATGTGAGGGCTTATTTCTGATCTCTTTATCCTATACCATTAGTTTATATGTCTGCCTTTATGCCAGTATGCCAATATTTGGTTACTGTAGCTTTGTAGTAATTTTTGAAATCAGAGAACATGGGCCCTCCAACTTTGTACTTCTTTTCAAGATTGTTTTGACTATTCAGTTTCTTGAGACTCCAATGAATTCTAGGGTGGATTTTTTAATTTCTGCAAAAAAAAAAAAGAAAAAAGAAAAAAAAACCCGAAATCATAAGGACTGTGTTGATTTTGCAGGCCATTTTTAGGTAGTATTGATGTCTTAACAATATTATGTCTTCCAATCCATGAACATAGGACATCTTTCCACTTATTGGTATGCTTTATTTCTTTCAACAATATTTTGTAGTTTTGCCTCTGTGGTTAAGTTTGTTCCTAAGTATTTTATTCTTTGTAGTGTTATTGTAAGTAGAATTGTGGTGTTTTTTTTAGTCCCCCTTTTAGATAGTCATTGTCAGTGTATAGAAATACAACTGATTTTTGCATGTTGATTTTTATCTTGCTACTTTGCTAAAATCATTTATTAGCTTTGATAGTTTTTTCTGGGTTTTTTTGTTTGTTTTGTTTGCGTATGTGTTGTTTCTAAGGTTTGGTACAAATAATCTGCAAACAGAGATAATTTTACTTCTTCCTTTCCAATTTCTGTGCATTTTATTTCTTTTTCTTGCCTGCTTGCCCTGGCTAGAACTTATAATGCTGTGTTGAATAGAACTGAACTGGCAAAGCAGACATTCTCATTCCTGATCTCAGAGGAAAGAAGTGAAGCCATCTAGTCATGAACTTTTATTTTGGAGATGTTTTCGTTCCTTACTAGCTATACATCTATTCAGATTTTCCATTCCTTCATGACCCTTTCTTCAATACATACTGTCATTTTTTGGCTCTTACAACAATTTTTTACTTAAAGCCTTTTTTTTTCTATGAATCAGTAGAGCCAATGTACTCTCTTTTGGTTCCTATTTGGATGGGTATCTTTTTCAGTCTTTTCCCTTTCAACCTATGCACGCCCTTAGATTTAAAGACAGTCTCATATCTACACATTCAATGAAATCCTTATCAAAATACCATGGACTTTATCCAGAGAGTTGGAACAAATAATCTTAAGATTTGTGTGGAATCAGAAAAGACCCCCAAAAGCCAGAGGAATATTGAAAAAGAAAACCAGAGCCGAGGGCATCACAATGCTGGATTTCAAGTTGTACTACAAAGCTGTGATCATCAAGAGAGTGTGGTTCTGGCATAAAAACAGACACATAGATCAATGGAACAGAATAGAGAACCTGGAAATGGACCCTCAACTCTATGGTCAACTAATATTCAACAAAGCAGGAAAGACCTTCCACTGGAAAAAGGACAGTCTCTTCAATAAATGGTGCTGGGAAAATTGGGACAGCCACGTGCAGAAGAATGAAACTAGACCATTCTCTTACACCGTACACATAGATAAACTCAAAATGGATGAATGATCTAAATGTAAGACAAGAATCTATCAAAATCCTAGAGGAGAACACAGGCAACACCCTTTCTGAACTTGGTCACAGCAACTTCTTGCAAGATACATCCACGAAGGCAAGAGAAACAAAAGCAAAAAATGAACTATTGGGACTTAAGATAAAAAAGCTTCTGCGCAGCAAAAGAAACAGTCAACAAAACTCAAAGACAACCTACAGAATGGGAGAAGAGATTTGCAAATGACCTATCAGATAAAGGGCTAGTATCCAAGATCTATAAAGAACTTATTAGACTCAACAGCAAAGAAACAAACAATCCAATCATGAAATGGGCAAAAGACATGAACAGATATTTCACAGAGGAAGACAAAGACGTGGCCAACAGGCACATGAGAAAATCCTCCGCATCACTGGCCATCAGGGAAATACAAATCAAACCCATAATGAGATCCCACCTCACACCAGTGAGAATGGGGGAAATCAACAAGGCAGGAAACAACAAATGTTGGTGAGGATGTGGGGAAGGGGGGACCCTCTTGCACTGTTGGTGGGAATGTGAACTGGTGCAGCCACTCTGGAAAACTGTGTGGAGGTTCTTCAAAGAGCTAAAAATAGATCTGCCCTACGACCCAGCAATTGCACTGCTGGGGATTTACCCCAAAGATACAGATGCAGTGATACACCGGGACACCTGCACCCCGATGTTTATAGCAGCAACGTCCACGATAGCCAAACTGTGGAAGGAGCCTCGGTGTCCATCAACAGATGATGGATAGAGAAGCCGTGGCCTGTGTACAGGGGGTATCACTCAGCCGCCAGAAACAACGACGACGTGGCTGCAGCTGGAGGGTGTGATGCTGCGTGAAGTCAGTCAGTCGGAGAAGGACAATGAGCATAGGGTCTCACTCACACGGGGAATATAAGACCTAGTAGAAGGGATCGTAGGGGAGGGAGGGGAGCTGAGGGGGAAACATCAGAGGGGGAGACAAACCACGGGAGACTCCTGACTCTGGGAAGCGACCAAGGGGCAGTGGAAGGGGAGGCGGGAGGGGGTTGGGGGTGACTGGGTGACTGGCACTGAGGGGGGCATGTGACGGGATGGGCACTGGGCGTGATGCTGTATGTTGGCAAATCGAACTCCAATAAAAACATATACAAAAAATAAAGACAGTCTCAAAAATGGAATATAGTTGCATCCTAAATTTGGGTCTCCCCCCCCCCTCATTTTGCCATTCTATGCCTTTTCATTGAAAGGTTAATCTATTTACATTTAAAGTAATTACTGTCAGGGGAGGACTTTCTTCTGCCATTTTATTATTTGTTTTCTTACAGGATTTTTTTTTTGTCCCTCATTTCCTCCATTACTAACTTTGTTTGTGTTGATTATTTTCAGTGACAATTTTTATTTCCTCCTCATTTCCTTTCGTGTATATTCTAGAGCTATTTTTTTGTAGTTATCACGAGGATTGCATATAACATCCTGAAGTTAAAACAATCTTTTTTTAACAACCTATTTTAAATTGACACTAATTTGACTTAGCTCATATATTAACACTCTTTTTTTTTTTTTTTTTTTTTTACACAGCCCTTCCATCTCCCATTTTATGTTACTGGTGTCATAAACTCCAAGTTGATATATTTTGCACCCATTAACACGGATTTTTTTTTATAATTTTTTAAAATTTATTTATGATAGGCACACAGTGAGAGAGAGAGAGGCAGAGACACAGGCAGAGGGAGAAGCAGGCTCCATGCACCGGGATCCCGACGCGGGATTCAATCCCGGGTCTCCAGGATCGCGCCCTGGGCCAAAGGCAGGCGCCAAACCGCTGCGCCACCCAGGGATCCCTTAACACGGATTTATAATTATTTTTATGCATTTGTTTTTTAAATCCTATAGAAATAGTGGAGTTACAAACCAAAATTATGATAATAGTGGTTTTTATATTTGTCCACGTGTTTATCTTTACCAGAGGTCTTTATTTCATACAGCTTTGAGTGACTGTCTAGCATTGCTCCATTTCTTTTTTTTAAAAGATTTTATGTATGTCATGATAAACAGAGAGGGGGGCGAGGCGGGGCAGAGGGAGGAGCAGGTTCCATACAGGGAGCCCGATGCGGGACTTGATCCCAGGACTCCAGAATCACACCCTGGGCCGAAAGCAGATGCTGAACCACTGAGCCACCCAGGGAATCCCCTCATTGCTCCATTTCTTGTAGGGCAGGCCTAGTGGTAATGAACTCCGTCAGCTTTGGTTTATCTAGGGATGCTTTAGTTTTTCCTTCATTTTCGAAAATTGGTTTTGCTAGCTATAGTATTCTCAGTTGGTAAGTGTGTGTGTATGTTGGGTTGGTTTTGGGGTTTTTTTTATCATTTAAATATATCACCCTACCTCCTTTCGGCCTGCAAGATTTCTGCTGAGAAATCTACTGATAATCTTATAATCTAATAATCTTATAAAGGCTGCTTCGTACTTGAGTCATTTTGATCTCAACAGGTTGAGTATATGTCTTTTGTGTGGGTCTTACCAGATGTTTCCTATTGGAGTTTATGGAGCTTCTTAGATTTGTACACCCATGTCTTATCTTTAAATTCAGAAAATTTTCAGCCATTATTTCTTCAAATATTCTTTCTGTTCTTCTCTCTTTTTTCTCCCATAATATGTATACTGGTCTACACGATGGTAACTCTGTTCTCATTTCTTTATTCCTTTTTTTTTTCCTCCTCAGACTCAAGAATTTCAAATGATCTCTCTTCAAGTTCTCTGATTCTTTCTTTTGCCTGTTCAAGTCCACTGCCAAACACCTCTAATGAATTTTTTCAATGTAGTTATTGTATTTGTCGATTCCATAATTTCTGTTGATATTTTTTATAATTTCTATTTTTATTGATACTCTCATTTTGTTCATATATTATTTTCCCAATTTCCTTTAGTTCTTGCTCATGTTTTCTTTGAGCTCTTTATGCATATTCGAGGTGGTTGTTTTAAAGTTTTTGTCCAGTCCATTTAAAGGAGGGTCTCCACCAACAGGTCATGTTCCAAGGTAAGTGAAGGCTTAAGTTCTCAGGAGTTTTCTGAACTTACATCTTGCCTGAACCCGTATGTGTGTGTGTGCGTGTGTGTGTGTGTGTGTGTGTGGTGTGTTTTTTATTTAATCTTTATACGCAGCTATATTTAAATGCCTTATTTTCCCAAAGAGTGTATTTCCTGCTTCTTCTCAAGGCCTTTTATGTTCTGTTGCATTCCTCCACCTGTAATCTCTGGCCTCAGACCTCCACAGGTCTGTTGTGCCCTAGAAGCTTTCACCAACTGTAACCACCCCCACTTTTAACACATTTTCTTAGCCTGAAACATGAACTATGACATTTCTCCCTATTTGAGCTCTCAGTTAAGCAAAACAGAGACACAAATTCCTCAAGCAGCGTCTAGACAGATTAAAATATTGCTCTAAAAAAAAATAAAAATAAATAAAGTAAAATAAAATAAAATAAAACAAAATAAAATGTTGCTTCCTATTTCTGGGTTCAAGGGAGGGAACTGGGAGCTGAGCCATTGCTTCTCTTACCCTACACCATGCTGTTCTAAGGAGAAAATGAGAAAAAAGCAAGTAAAAATACCATGGCATTTCCTACCATTTTGAATGTGACTTTTTCTAAACTGGGCATTTGTGTGGTTGCTGCGGACCTCTGACAGCTTTTCAGAGCTCTTCCATAGTTATTTTAGGTAGGCTATAGTTTTTTTTTTTTTTTTTTTTTAAGTGTTTCTGTGGGAGAATAAGGAGCTAGAGCTTATTAGTCTGCCATGTTTCTCATATCACTCCAACTCTGCTCTCTTTATGCAATCTCTTCTGGGCATAGGAGTAACTGATAGTATCCTAGAGGGATTGCTCAGCCAGTCCTCCTTGCCCTTGGACCTTCCCTTACACACACCTGCTCCCCAAATAAGGCCAAGTGCAATGAGAGCGAGCAATGGCCACAGGCCACATTTAGCTGGAGGGGTGGTGAATGCCTATGTTCTCCCTGAAAACAGCCTTTTCCAGTTCTCAGAAGTCACCATCAACCTTCCCCACGCTTACACCAAAGCTGCCAATTATGTATCGCCATATTTTCCTTGCCCATTTCCCGAGAAGATGGAAGGATATCTACATGTCTCTGCAGAAATTTAAGTGGCTCAGTCTTGATTGTCACAAATAAAGATACTCAATTTCAAGTAGGCCAATTCAGGCAAAGTATTTTTGTGTTGGCCTTTAAAGCACGTGGGGACACCAAGAGCCCATGTGTTCTGTTTTGAAAGTAAAAACTGAAATGCTCAGTCAGGGCAAGGTTGTGGAACAGGTGTCAGAGGGCAGCAGCTCATCCAGGGACATCAGGGCTGGGACGGGCAGGGGGTAAGTACCACACTCTGGGAAGGGCCAGGCCCGGGATATAGCAGGTGTTCTTCATCTCAAGGTGCAGAGGAATTAGGAACAAGGAACGCCAGATGCCTAGGCACACTCCGCTGAAAGTAATGCTGTGAGTCACAACTCTGTTGACAACTCTGCTACAGCATTTTCAAGATTTCACGGGGACTTTAATGATTGCTTGAATGTAACTCCTCTGTGAAGAGCACAGACTCTATTACCACATTCTTAAGACATAACCACCTGTGGCCCTTAATTTGGAAATAGTAATGACCTCATTCCTACCTCTGCCTGCCTGGCCATCCCTAAGCCCTCTGTCCATTTTCCCCCAGGGGTTCCTTACCTTCCTCCTCTCTTCCACCCAGTTTCCAGTGAGCACTCGGGTTGAATACTTGGTCTCAACCTTCCAGCTTGGGGTAGAGAATGGGTGTGGACTTACTGCGCTCAAAAACTGCATGGTAACTGTTTGCTCCAAGTCTTTTGACTTGACACAGTTTCAGGTTTCGGGAGTGGGGAGACGTTATGCAGTTGCTGAGTTTAAGGAGTCTTTTTCATCTTCCCAGTCACCCTTCTGGGTGCGTATATGTGACACCCTGCCAGTTTCACAAAAATGGCCTGAGAGTCTACTTTCAGCCTCCAGGGAGAAGTGATGTGATCTTGGATTGCCTACTGTTGACTGTCTCCATGGTGATAGGCTGTGCATGTAAATATTCTCCTTAAGGGGGAAGCTGATTCTTCAGGAGCAAAACTGACCCCTTCAAAGCAAATCAAACCAACAATAACCACCACAAATGCAAGGCCAGAAGGTCCTCGTTTTAGTGGTGTCACCCCGTGAGAAGCATCATCCTTGGGGCACACTTACAAGGGTGAGTTGAGATGATCTCATTCTTTTTTTTTTAAGATTTATTTATTTATTTATTCATGATAGACATAGAGACAGAGGAAGAGACACAGGAGGAGGGAGAAGCAGGCTCCATGTCGGGAGCCCGACGTGGGACTCGATCCCAGGACTCCAGGATCGCACCCCGGACCAAAGGCAGGCACCAAACCGCTGAGCCACCCAGGGATCCCCAGATGATCTCATTCTATTACTAATTCTATTACTCTCAGGCTGATGTGCTAGGCCCATGTGGAGACATTTGTATATATTCAGTCATTTAATTCTCACAGCCACTATGAAGTAGGTGCTGGTATTATACTCATTTTATAGATGCGATCAGTGAAGCAAAGAGAGACTAAGTAGTTGTTTAAAGTCACATATGGGGGACAACTGGTATTTGAATCCATTCTGATTCAGGCATAGACCCCTGGGTTCCACTCAGTGCCTGCCTGCACCTTTGCTTAAGGGGTTTCCACAAAAAATCCCATCTTTGTGCTCAAACTGATACCATGTGGTTTATTCAGTTAGTCTTCATTCACACCCACAATCATTTTATTGAGCACGTGCTACATCTTGGGCATTGAGCTGTGGGTGTAATGCATCAGTAACTAGACCAGAGTCCCATTCCCACAGGGGGATCCCACTGAGGTTCAGTGGGAGAAAGGCCATTATTTTGTTTATTCACTAAGCAAAAATAAAAAGTCAGGAACCACCTAATTATCTATCAAGCGAGGACTGGTTCAATAAATTGTGACACATCCATAAAATGAAGTATTCTGTAGCTGTTAAAAAATGCTAACACAGGGGATCCCTGGGTGGCTCAGCGGTTTAGCGCCTGCCTTTGGCCCAGGGCGCGATCCTGGAGTCCTGGGATCGAGTCCCACGTCGGGCTCCCGGCATGGAGCCTGCTTCTCCCTCCTCCTGTCTCTCTCTCTCTCTCTATCATGAATAAATAAATAAATAAATATATATAAATAAATAAATAATAAATCTTTTAAAAAAATGCTAACACAGAAAGATGCCTATAATATGATTGAATTAAAGAAGTCGAGGGATCCCTGGGTGGCGCAGCGGTTTAGCGCCGCCTTCAGCCCAGGGCCTGATCCTGGGGACCCGGGATCGAATCCCACGTCAGGCTCCCGGTGCATGGAGCCTGCTTCTCCCTCTGCCTGTGTCTCTGCCCCCCTCTCTCTCTGTGTGTGACTATCATAAAAAAAAAAAAAGGATGTAGCTCCTTAAAAAAAAAAATAAAGAAGTCGAGCCCTATCGTCTCACTTGCCACAAATGAGGACATCCAATTTCAGGTGGGCCATTCAGAGACCATATTTTCCAACAGCCTTTAAACAAAAATACAGGAACTCCAAGAAACTATTTTTTCCCTCTTGAACTAACCATATGGGGGAAAGGACACAAAGACGACACCACAGAGCATGGCAAGCCTCTGTTTGGCAGGGACTCCAGTCTGGGCACTCGAGCCAGGAAGAGAGGATGTCCTTCCAATCCAAGTACAGGGGGGTCATGTGTTCTGTGTAATTCCATTTTTAAAAACTTTTCATATAAAATATAACATAATATTGGGATCCCTGGGTGGCGCAGTGGTTTAGCGCCTGCCTTTGGCCCAGGGCACGATCCTGGAGATCCGGGATCGAATCCCACGTCGGGCTTCTGGTGCATGGAGCCTGCTTCTCCCTCTGCCTGTGTCTCTGCTTCTCTCTCTCTCTCTGTGACTATCATAAATAAATAAAAATTAAAAAAAACATAATATGAACAAGTACATTAAAAATAAAGGTACAGATGAATGAATTATGGTAAAGCAAAACCCACAAAATCAGCATGGAGGTCAAGAGGAAGAGCAGTACCCACGCTCCAGAAGGGCCCCACATGCCTCCTCCCTTTCCAACCTGACTTCTGTAGCTGCCACTTCCTTGCTCTTTTTAAATACGCTGAACACCAAAGGATGCATTTCTATACCCTTATGCTTCGCCTCGCCTGTTTGTAGAGTTGGAATAAACGGAGCTGTATAGTATTCATTTGAGTCTGATTTCTTTTCTGCCATATATTTAATATTTTAAGATTCACTCATGTTGCATGTAGCTGTGGTTGCTAGGACCCTTTTGTACTGTCCCCTGCTGCCCAGGTCCAGCCATTTCTCTAGGGCAGTGGTTCTCAAATGCCTAGTTTCTTAAAAGTTATTGAGGAACCAAAGGGGTTTTGAAATATGTACTGTATTGTGGTCTGCGGCCAGGTCATAGCAGCCCAGGGGAGCCAACTGTGCCCATTTCTTCCCAACACTACATCCTGTAAAATCACTTTGGTAGCTCGAAATCATTCATGGTGGGAATATTTATATCACAGACTGGGCAAACCCAATAGGTTAACATAAATATATCAATTATTATTTATTGTTTTCGAAAAATTCCATCTGTGGTGATATATTGTTTTGTAGAAAGGAGAAAATCTAATCTCATATGGATATGTAGTTAGAAAAGAGAGAAATCTTTTAATAGACTTTGCAGCTAATTGTGGATATTCTGATACTACAGCAAAACCCAGTGAGTGGTAGTTTCTTAAAGGTCAGTTACAACGTGGAATCTGAATTTTTCAGTCAACTCTCTGAACTCTGTTACATTAAAATCCATGGGTTGCGCTTGTGTTTTGGGCAGATCTTTCAGTTATGTGTGATTTTGTGGCATTGTGGTGGTCATTTGGAATACATTGGTATCTTGAGCCATGCACATCTTCCAAACGTTGGCGTATTATATGATATTTTAAAAATTGGGTCACCTGGGTAGCTCAGTGGTTTGGCATCTGCTTTCTGCTCAGGGTGTGACCCCGGGGTCCTGGGATCGAGTCCCACACCGGACTCCCCACAGGCAGCCTGCTTCTCCCTCTGCCTGTGTCTCTGCCTCTCTCTGTGTCTCTCATGAATAAATAAATAAATAATATCTTTTAAAAAACTAAAATGAACCAGATTTTGTCTTTGTGTGTGTGTGTTTGTTTGGTAAAGTGTGTTTTTCTAGGAATTTACACATTGCATCTAAATTCTCAATTTTTAACAAATGTTATTCATAAATTCCTCTCATTATCTTTTTGATATTTCTAGGGTCTATAAAAAGTCCCTTTTTATATTTCTGGTATCTACCATTTGTGCTCCCCCTTTTCTTTATTGGTCTTACTAGATGCTTATCAATTTCTCAGTGTTTTCAGAGCCCAAACATGGCATTATTGATCATCTCTACTGTGTGGTTATTTTATATTATATTTTATATTTTAGAAACTTTTCCCAGAAAATATAAGAAATTATATAAAGATAATATATATATATATATTGATGTAATGCTTAATCTTTCAATCATTTTAGGAAATTCTCAGCCATTCTATGTTCAAATATCGCTACTGCCTCCTTTCTCTCTCCTTGCTTTCTGGGGCACCAGTTACATATTTGCTACACCTTCTCCCTGCACTTCTCAATGCCTCTTGTTCCCTCCCCTGTGTTTTCTACCTTTTGTCTCTTTGTGCTTGATTCTGAATAGTTTCTTCTGGCCTGTATTCCAGCTCACATATCCTCTCTCTTAAAAGGTAGAATTAAACCCACCCAGTGGATTTTTAGTTCCATCTGTTGCATTTCTCAGCTCTAATATTTCTGTTCGATTCATAGATATGCCATATTTACAGTTCCAAATTTTTAATTGTTCTACATTTTTAATTTTTAATTTATTTATTTCAGAGAGAGAAAGAGAGGGAGCAGGGAGACAGAGAGAGAGAATCTCAAGCCAACTCCCCACTGAGCACAGAGCCCAACACAGGGTTTGATCCCATGACTCCGAGATCATGACCTCAGCTGAAAACAAGAGTCAGATGCCCAACTGACTGAACCACCCAGGCACCCCCTACCTTTTGAATTTTTAAATTACCACTTTTTGCCTTCCAAATTTTCAAATCTATAGGTTTATAGATTATGCTTACATATTATATTTAAATGTACAGATTATATTTATAAATTGTGTATAGATTTACCTATTCTACTTATATAGATTATATGTATAAATATATTTATGTAAATTTTATCTCCCTAGACATAGTAAGCATAACTATTCTACTGTATATGACTCCTTTTATTTTTTATTTACTCTCTACACCCAGTGTGGGTCTCAAACTCACAACCCCAAGATCAAAATTCACACGCTCTTCCAGCTGAGCCACCCAGGGGCCCTCCTTTTTTTTTTTTTTTAAAGCTGTTGTTTCTGTGGCTTCTTTTTGCTAGTTTTTCTTTTCTATGTACCTGGTACCTGAAAAATTATTTGCAAAAATAATGTAGGATGACATTATCCTCCTGCAGAGATGACTGTCATTTGCTTTTCTAATCACTTGTGGACATTAGAAATTGGAGATCACGTCCATCTAGTTTAGGAGCAAACATTTTTGGTCATTGTATGATCCCAATACTGTGTGCTTAGCACTCTGTTAAAGGAACTACAGCAAGCTCTGCAAGCTCTGAGAAGGACCTAACCCTGCTTGGCTTTCCAAAGAAAGCAGAACCTAAGATGAGTCCGGAGAGAGAGATCGTGGATTGACTTCTCCCTTCCTGGTCCAGCATGGCCTAGAAACACTTCTTGAAGATGACCAATCTGCTTTGGGTCATTTCACAGAGAAGATAATGGTGGTGGGTGTTAGACTTGGAACTCAGACACATTTGGCTTGAACTTCCAGATTGCCCAAGTCAACCTTGGTTTCCTAATCTAAAACCTGGGAACGAATACCATGTGCACCATGAGATTATGAGAATGCAACGAAATGTCATCTATAAAACACTTCATAAGATGCCTGTCACAATAAGGAGTAGATAAATATTCAGTTCCTTCTTCCTTTTGTGCCTAAGCCAAGTTTATTTTAGTGACAAAATCCATTCCTTTCCCTATGATAGAGGAGCATATCTGGAAAGTTGGAAAATATGAGGGCTCTTTCTTATGACTAGAAATGCTTTGAAATGGAACCACACACTGTCTTATCTGATTCAACTCTGTGCAGTAATTTGCAAGACAACCAGCTACGATGTTGGGGCAGAGATATTCTATCCAGGGAATAGAGCAAGCCATGGCAACCGTGGGAATGAGGAGCCAATCTGCTGGCTTTGGCATCCTTTGCTTTCTTCTATGGGATGCAAAGATGTTTTGGAGGCACCAAACCAACAATGTTGCAGTCTGCCCCAACTCTTCAGCTGACTCTTGTAGAGGTTCATTTGAGTGAAGGAACTTTCCTTTTTAAAATACAAGCATGCGGTTGAGCATCTGGCTTTGGCTCAGGGCATGATCCCGGGGTCCTGGGATCGAGTCCCACTTCAGGCTTCCTGCATGGAGCCTGCTTCTCCCTCTACCTATGTCTCTGCCTCTGTGTGTGTGTGTCTTTCATGAATAAATAAATAAAATTTAATAAATAAATAAATAAAATAAAATACAAGCATGCCATACCAACTTGGTCTCACCCAGCTGATTCTCAAGCCAATTGATTTTCTTTTTGCCTTTGGGATTGATGGTTATAATCCATTGATTTCTCTCCCAGTTGAGATCTTCTGGGGAAAGGGAATGGGACAGACATCTCGGTAGCATCCACCAACATTTAAAATGTGCCCAGTTAACAGTTCTCCTTGAATCCATCACAGAATCACACATGCAGAAGGGGGCGTGTGCCGACACATTTACTGTGGATTTATTTATGAAAAACTAGAAAGAGATCAAAAGTGTCTACCACTTGGGAATGGCTAAGAACTATAAAATAGCCACATCAGGGAATACTATGCAGTAGCTAAAATGAGTAAGATAAATTTATATTGTTTACTAGGCTAGACCTCTAATGTGTATCATTGATTCAAGTGTCACAACATGTACAGAATAATATCTTTATGTACCAATATATGCAAAGTCATCCCACAAAATAATGCTTTACATATCTGTGTATGTAAAAGCATAGAAAAGGCTTTAAAAGATTGGAAGACCACCCTCTGTCAAAAAGGTGACAGTGGGTACCACCAGATATAAGCGGATAGAGTGAAGGAAGGGTGATCAAAAATGACTGTTAGCCTTATCTCCAGTATTTGAAGGTTTTATTTAACAAGATAATATTGTGAAGCCTGGGTAGCTCAGTTGGTTAAGCATCCGACTCTTGATTTCTGCTCAGGTCATGATCTCAGGGTTGTGAGATGGAGCCCTGTGTCTGGCTCTATGCTCAGGGGCAGAGTTTGCTCTTTCTCTCTCTCTCTCTCTCTCTCTCTCTCTCTCTCTAAAATAAAAAAAAATCTTTTAGGGGCACCTGGGTGGCTCAGTCGGTTAAGCATCTGCCTTCGGCTCAGGCCATCATCCCAGGATCCTGGGATCAAGCCCCATATCGGGCTCCCTGCGCAGTGGGGAGTCTGCTTCTTCCCCCTCTCTCTCTTCCCCTCCCCCCACTCATCTTCTCTCTCTCTCTCTCTCTCTCTCTCTCGCTTGCTTTTTCTCTCTTTCTCAAATAAATGATCTTCTAAAAAAAGGAAATGAAAAGAATATCTTTGTGTATCATGTATATAATTTAAAATTAATTTTTTAAGGTAGAATGGAAATCTTATGATTGAGAGCATGGTAAGCTGTAATATTGTCCAAACAATATCTGATGCCCCTCTCTGGGGAGAATGATGCTTCTCCGTCTCAACAAGGTCAGGCATGGCTGCATGACTTGGCCAGAGGAAGATGACCAGAAGCTTGAGGAGCCAGCATGTGATTTGCCATATTCTTGTCTCCTCTGCCATGAGACTGGAGACATTTAACAGACAGGCTGCTCCATCAGCCTGGAAGCTGGAGAAGACAATTGTGGAGCAGAGCTCCAGCTCACCCGTGAAGGCCGTGTGATGTGTAATGTGAGCAGGAATTAGACCTTTACTGTCATAAGCCACTGAGACCACGGGGCCACTTGTCATTGTGGCAAAACCTAACCTAGCCTGACTGACCAGGGATAACAGAGAGCCAGCAGTCACTCTGGAGCAGGGAGTGCAGGCAGAGAGGGAGACAAGGCTTGGGGCCAGAAAGGCAGGGAGGTCCTGAGTGGGGGTGTGAAGAACCCTGAGGGAGACACCAAAAGGGAAGTGGGGAGAAGAGCAGGAGAGACGAATTTTGCCCATTTTCCAACTTTGCTTTAGAACTTTGTCCTCAGTTGCCTACTGACGAATGAGAGCAATTTGGGATGCAACACATTGTCCTTTATCAGATGACGTTTGCTCCCTGGTGGTCTAGTGGTTAGGATTCGGCGCTCTCAGATGACGTTTGCCCTGGCCTAACTGGTAGATCTTTTCAGGGGAGTCCTGGGAATTTACTGAGAAAACACTTGGACAGTGTCAGGGCTTAATAGTATGTAGTTGTCCGATCGCCCTGAGCTGGTATTAGCTGGGCACCGCGGCTACAGTGACCAGTTCTAAAGTCATTCAGACTTTGACAAAGCTACAGTCAAAACGGTAAAGGAAACCAGGTGGCAAAAAAATACCTGGCTCCATCAACCTGACTCAGATCAAACAATAGCAGACACCTAAGTGGATGGCAAAGGACTCAAATAAGCTCATATGGCTCAGTTGAGTCTTTTATTTTAATTCTGGATGATGGAAAAGGAAAGAGCTAATGGGCCACGGGGCACAACAGAAAGGGGGTGTTGTCAGATGGATCAGGGTTGCAATGCACAGTACCCGGCCAACGACGCATCCTTGAACCTAACAGGAAATAAGCAGTATTATTAATGGCTCTGGGCCTCCATTTCTTCATCTATTAAATGGGTCTAAGAATACCTACTTTGTACAATTCATGTAAGGAACAAATAAGTGTGTTGTGGGGGCATATTAAATTAAATTTAATAATTAAATTTAATAATTAAATGTAATAGCTGGCATATTAAATTAAAATATGCAGATCATGACCTGCTGAATGAGGAGAAATAAGCTACCCATGTGGGGTTGGCACGTAGCTCCCTCAGCATCCCAGCTCCCACCTTGGGGAAGTGGAAACCCGGGGTCGTTTTGATGGAAGGTGCAGTTTCAATACACTCACACGAACGTAATAGACTCATGAGTTTTATTGCTTACAGATCCCAGAAACAGAGTTGGGGGTGCGATGAGCCAAGGGAAGGGCAGTCCTCTATCTCAGGTCTCAAGCGAGCAGGAGAGAGAGCAGGGTAGAAAGCACCTGCTACTGATTACGTGGCTGGGGCAGAGATCACTCACTTCTTGAGAGGGTGGCCCTAAGTGGCTATTCTAAAAGGTGCCCTGGGAAAAGTAAAGTGGGAACTTATGGCAGGAATTCTAAACTTGAGGTTTTTATCTACATGTCCAGACTGTGGAGCAGGGTTGTCCTGCTGTAGAATGCCTGGGCGGCAACTCGAAATAGCTGTTTTCTCATCACAGTGAAGTAGAAATTTAAATCCAGAGATACTTCCAGTCCTGAAAATGTAGCCGACTCATCTCCTCTAGGAACGCTCCTCGAGTGGCTCACACGCTCCTCAGCACCCCGCAGTCGAAGAGCTAGCCACCCAACTTCCCAGAAGGTCAGCCCGGTCCCTCCGCCTATGTCCAGAGATGGAATGAAGCAATGAAGACCACACTCCAGGAGAAGCGCCTACCCAGAATCAACCCACAGACCTCTTCTAGAAGGGACCATGCTCCTTAGATCTCAGTGCTGCTCAACAGCTGAGTGGCCACCAGATGAAGCGCCTTCAGCGAGTGGTTCCTATTTCTCCAACAAAGACACCTACTGGCCTGCCATGAATGGATCCAGAAGCCACCAAATGGGATTCCTCTTTGCCCCACGTTTCAGCACAAACATTCAACTGAAAGCAAGTTAAGGGCATGCATAGGGGCCTCTGTGCAGTAAACCTGGGCCTCAGCCTACGAAAACCGTTAGCCAACTAGGAGCAGGGCCTCCAGAAGACCAGGTAGGACCAGCCTGGGAACTTGCACCAGCCCTTTCCTGGGAATATTTATTCCTCAGGGACAAGTGGTCACCTTGCCTAGTACCCCTTGACATCTCCTGCCATTTCCAAGTACTCTGACTCCGGGTTCACGTAGCTTCTGCAGCAGAGGAAGCATTGATAAGCACCCAGCGGAGTAAGCATTGATGTCTACCGTAGAAGAGTTAAGTGCTGATGTGAGGAAAGTCCTCCCTCCCTCCCTCCTGTTCTGCCCAAGCATGGGTGGAATGGACCCCACCCTCCACTCCAGCTCGGGGCTTAGCCCGGGTCAAACCATTCCATTCCCTCGGTTGTGGCAACTGGACACACCCCTCAGAGAGCCCACAGAGCCACAGAGTTACAATGTGGTTTCTGCTGGGATAACTGGGAATGAGGCAAGTCTATAATAACGGACTTGACTCCAGAGAATGTAAGTGTGCTCAGGGCCATCATAGGCAGAGGCGACGGGGAAATAAATGCAAAGGAGCGCAGGACGGAGGAAAGAGGAAAAGGCAGCTGGTGGCACTGTTTGAGTTTCTGGATCAAACCATACCTGATTTATCCCTGGAACTCACAGCTACCAATAGGTTCTTTCTCTGATTTAGGCCAGTTTGAGTTGGTTCCATGTCTTCATTTTTTTTTTAATTTTTTTATTTTTTGGTTCCATGTCTTCAAACAGAAATCGTTTCTGCTGACACATCTTCAGTCCCTCTGGCTCCTTGGACTCCGAGAGCTCCAGGGCACCCCCGTCAGGCGGCTCTGGGCTGTCTTCATCTGCCCCTAGGTGCCAACCATTATGGGAAACCTATCCTTTCTCTCCTAACTCTTCCTGCCCAGACAGTTAAGATTCCGAGCTCAGAGGCAGAGGAATAGCAGGGGAAATGTCACTGTGTACCCAGGGGAGGAGAGGGACACCTGTTTCTCCACCTCCACCAGCCATCGAGAACACCAGAGCCCCATCCTCTGAGCTGGACTGAAGAAAGCCCTTGGGACTGCACATGACGTCCCTGCTTCATTCCAAAGCCAGCTGTTGACGTGTGACGCTCCTGCTCCTCGCAGCCTAGACCAACCTGAACGCTCCTCGGGGAAGCCCTACTTGATGGTTCACTCTCAGGTGACCGCTGCAGACCGTCAGCCCAAATTTTCCCAATGGTGATCGTGAACAGAGCGCCACCCTCCCCCCAAACCCGTCTCTCCTACTTCTCTCCCTTCAGACATCAGAAAGCTGCATTCCACAGTTCTAGAACCTGAAGCAAGAAGGCCATGGCAACCTCGACCCCCTCCCTAGCCCCGCTCAGCATCACCTACGGCACAATAGAGAGCCCTGCCGGGGAACTAGAAGCTGGTGGAACGTGTACTCTCGTCGCTCTAGCAGGAAGGAAAGATGATCACAACCTCTTTAGAAAATGGACTAGGGAATCCAGAATCCTCGTGGAGCAGGGGAATTGCAAACACCCCATGTCTAAGGTGCTAAGCACCCCATGGAAACCATCCTCCATGTGGTACCAAGTCACCGGGACCCCCAGGTCCTCCAACCGCTTCTTGTACAACAGCGAATCGTCCCGGAGAAGGTCGTACTCACAGCTCACAATGCAAGCCTCGGGGAGCTGAGATATGACCTCATCTTCCGCAATCAGGGGTGAGTTCAATAAATGCAGAGCGAGGCTTGTCTCCAGATAGGCAGCCTCATTGAGGGGCTCTGGGAGCACTGGCCGGTAGGGTCTCTTCTTAAACCTCTCTGGGATATTTTCAGTGCCCAACCATTTTCTATACTTTTCCCAGACTTCAGCAGGCAAGTGGGCGCCTTTCAGGACGGTGCTTTTCCAGGAGGGCTTGATATCCAGGTAATGGTGCCAGCAGTAGAAGGCAAAGTCTCGACTGGCCAGCGGGACGTTCTTGTTCTGCTGATAGGAGGGGAGCTGGAAATGCACAGCCTGGAGTTGGGCATAGATCAGGATCTGAGCACGGATCTTGGGGAGATCCGGGCAGCCCAAAAATTTTTGACAGACTACCGTTGCCACTCCCCCTCCCACGCTGTCACCGCAGACCACGACCCGATCTGGGTCCACCCCGTACACGTTCAGGGACTTCAGGAAGTGGGTGGTGGCGGCGAAGCAGTCTGTTAGCGCCACCGGGAACTTATGCTGGGGCAACTTGCGGTATCTAGAAGAGGAATCAAGAAACAACAGTTTACACCCAGCACCCTAGCAGAGCCAAAAATACCCGTGGCTAGCGTCCCGTAGGCCAAACTTCTTCCATTAACTTCTCCTGCGGAAGCCCGAACAGGTGAAGTTAAGGTATGAGGTTCAAGTGAAGTGATAGACATGAGGACCACAGCGCCTGGCACCTAGGCTCGGTGAGTGGTGGCTGCTGCTCCATCTGCCTCGATGCCCCTTTGGGGCGCAGGCGGTGACCACAAGAGCCCTGTCGTTCACCTATTGGCCAACAACTTACCAATCATCAAACACGAACCCATCTTTCTGAACCTACCTGCTGGTGCCTCCTTGGCTCACACTCGTCGCCTCTTATGGTTCTTTTATGAGCAATTCCAGGTCTGCCTGGGTTTCCACTCTCAGTAGCCCTGCCCTGCTCGTGGGTTTTATGGGAGGAGCTTGTAAGGTCTAAGCACCACGGGGGGCAGCAGTTGGCTCCCCCAGGCCGGCGAGTCCCCTCCGGACCATTGCTGCCCGGCAGGTGCGCCAGGCGAGGGCCGGAGCTCCATGCTCAGGTTGCTGCCATGCAGGCCCACCACCTGGCACACTAGGCCCTCCCTATTTTTCAAGAGATTCCAGAAATCTGGGTGTCGTGAGAAATGCTACCATATTTATTTATTTATTTATTTATTTATTTATTTATTTATTTATTTATTTATTTATATATCCTATGGGCTCAACGAACTTTTTCCATTATGATGCCTCCTGTTTTAAGCTACCCTAAGTTCATGCTGGGACAGCAAGGTTTCAACCCCAAGACCTTGTCTACCTCGGATTCATAAAATAATTTTCTTGCAGAAATTTGCTGGCCCACGACGTCGTGGTTCAGCCCCACCAGAGCTGTAAGGAGTATCGTGGCCACCACCTGGATCAAGACATCCTCCCCCCTGGAGCAGAGAACTACAACGTGAGTGGTGTCCCCGGGTCCCGCTCCCTCATCCAGGACCGATTCCTGTACTTTTTCACTCTAATTCAGCCAGCTGTGCCACAGGGGAAATGTATTCCTGCCAAGACAATGGTACTTCTTTATGGCCTGTGCGGTTAAAGGCAACCGCAGGGAAGATTAACGAGGAGGGACCACCTGCGCCCGTGGGACCGCGTGCCCGGGGCTGGGGGTGGGGAATGAGCCACAGCACCCCAGGGACAGCCGGTCACGCGTATTCAGTGTGCCTGATGTGGAGGCTCAGGGAAGGGCCATCCCGGTGTCCCCGGCGCCGTGTCCACCAAGGCCTCTTGGAGGCTCCAGACTTCTCCTCGAGGCTGCTCACGGCCCCTCCCCTGCCCTGGAGTCCCCGTGTCCCTCCAGGTCCCCACCTGCCCCGGTCCCGCCTCCCACCCAGCACCGAGCTCCAGCCCCCTTCCCCGTACTCACCCCACTGCTAGAACCACGGAGCCACTCTTCTTGCACAGTTGACAGCAGATGGCATAGTGGGTTTCTAGAAGATAGAAGGGCTCTGGCGTCCACCCAGAGGCAGTGGCTTCCCGCCCGGCCGCCACCTTGGGCTGCCCCTTCTCCCCGCCGCCCGCCTGCAGGGGACCCGGGCTCATCCTAATGAGCTTCGCAGACCACCTCCCTGCTTCCTAGGCTTTCTCCTCGGCCCTCCTGTCCCCACAACTGCCCCTTCGCGTCGCTCGCCCCCCAGCGACTGCAGTTTCTTCGGAAGATCCCTGAGCTGTTGGGCCAGCGGCACGTGCGGCGCGTCCCCCTGGCCCGAGGCCTCCCTGGAGGGGACACAACGGTAAGAGCAGGGCCGTGCGGGGCTCGACAACACGCGGAAGGTGCTGCCGCGCTGCCTGCCGGGGGATCAGCGACTGTTAGCAAGATCACGTACGGCCGATCGACACGCAGGCCAAACCGAACCCACGGCTGCGTTCAGTCCTTTATTTTTCCAAGGCTCCTGCAGTGGCTGCTGGCATTCGTTCAGAAGGCAGGGCTGGAACCAAATGAAAGTGTCCCCGCCCCGAGTTCATTGGGCACCCGTGTAGGGGAGGTGAAGACTATAAAGTGGTCTCAGTTGTGAGTTTTTCCTCTCATTAGCTTTGCTCACATTTCTGGTTCTCCTGTCTGGACCAGAATATGTCCCGGGCAATACCAGGCATGAAACAAAAGCACGTGCTTTTTTGTTTGTTTGTTTTTTACTTAAAAAAAAAAATCGGGATCCCTGGGTGGCACAGCGGTTTGGCACCTGCCTTTGGCCCAGGGCGCGATCCTGGAGACCCAGGATTGAATCCCACATTGGGCTCCTGGTGCATGGAGCCTGCTTCTCCCTCTGCCTGTGTCTCTGCCTCTCTCTCTCTCTCTCTGTGACTATCATAAATAAGTTAAATTAAATTAAAAAAAATTTTTTAAATCATTATTTCCAACTAAATAGAGGTGGTGGTTGTAGACCACTGTGCATGTACTAAATGCCACGGAATTGTACCGTTTAAAGTGGTCAATTTTAGGGGCAGCCCGGGTGGCTCAGTGGTTGAGCACCTGCCCTCGGCCCAGGGTGTGACCCCGGGGTCCCGGGATCGAGTCCCGCCGCATCGGGCTCCCTGCGTGGAGCCTGCTTCTCCCTCTGCCTGTGTCTCTGCCTCTCTCTCTCTCTCTCTCTCTGTGTCTCTATGAATAAATAAATAAAATCTTTAAAAAATAAATAAAGTGGTCAATTTTATGTCGTGTGAACTTCATGGATATACACAGATACACACGGGTTCACAGATGCACAGACATGGATTATGTGCGTATATATATAATATTCCATACACAGGCCTCCTTACTTCCAGAAAGGGAGCAAGACATTCCGTATCTTTGCCACCGAAATGATCCAGGACCCACTAACCCTCTGGATGTGCCCTGTCCTAGCCCGGCTCATCGCCGCCAGGAGGGTGACGGGAGTGTGGCCTCCTGCTGGAAGGTGGGTTCCCCCCAGCCCTGCTCCGAGGCTGCCCCATGACAGGTGGGCGTTTAAGGGAAGGATTCTTACTCAGGCTCCCCATGACTGCCCCGCCTCCGTGGTAGAAGACGATGCCAGGCCTGGGGGTGCAGGACAACCCCTTGGGCTGGTACAGCTTCACGGGGACTGTCCCGAAGCGGAGATCGGTGACCACGACATCCGGATCCTCCTTGAGTGGCACCAGATCATGCACGAAACGGACAAATTGGGGCATGGAACAGATTCTCAGCTTCTCGAGAATTGTCCCCTGTTGGCGAGAGAAGAGGGAATGAGGCAGGAAGGGTCTCAGGGTGTGACACAGCAGGGGCGGGGGTGGCTGGAGGGCAGACGGGACCACAGCCCTGCTCCGCCCCATGGGCCCGAAGGCACCTGCAGTAGCCCCACCCCACCTCGGCCTACATTGCCCCTCATCCCCTCTCCCCCGGACACCTGACAGCCAGCCTCTCCAACCAGGCTTCTGGCCACCCCACCAGGGTCCCTCTAACCTGGAACGCCCCCCACCGTGGCCTGGACATGACCTCGCTTTCCCAGGGACCCCTCCCGGACTAGCCTGGCCAACATGGCCATTCCAAGCGCTAGTTGCTATTAGGGCCTGATAACTGCATTGTGGTTGTTTTTTTAAAAGGGGAGGGGTTCTTGTCTTTAAGAGATACCTACTGAAACCTTTTGGATAAAATATGAGACCCAAGATCTGCTTCCTAAGAAATGGGAAGGAGGAAAAAAATAATAATAATAATAAATTAAAAAAAAAAGAAAAGAAATGGGAAGGAGGGAGCGGGGTGGGGGGTCACAGGTGAAACAAGATTGGCCAGGAGTCGGCAGCCAGTGCCAGGGGTGGGAGCCCAGGGCGTCTCTACAGTAGTCTTATCTTCTTTGCGGTAGGTCTGGAAGTCCACATAACAAAAAGTAAAAATAGACAAAGTGTTCCGTCCCGGGCACCCTTGCTCTGTGCCAAGGCCACTTTGGCTTTCAGTGATGCCCGTGGACCTCACACACGATGTTTTCGACACGTAGAACATGTGGGATTACAGAGGAAGGTGACGGTTCTTCAATCGTAGTCATCGGAACAGGTAGGTAGGCGTGCGGAGGGATGGGGCCTGCGCCTCCTGGTCAGGACACCGAGTAGCAAGAGCTGGTGGCCCGTCAGCACTATTACAAGCTCAGAGAAACGAGGCGCACACACAGCTGCTCGCAATATCTGCAGCAGACGCCGCACGCTCTGAAGGTGTCTGCGCTTCCCCTCGCTTAACAGAGCCTCGGCCGCTGCGGTCGCCACGCGGCCGGTGGCCCTCACTCCTCACGGAAGGGGACGCCACGCTTCCTGCAGAGGCCGGTGAACATGGAGAGACTTTTACCTCCCTCCAAACTGAGAGACCCCTCGCCTTCGGGCGCCCTTGGGGATTTGGGGAACCTTGGCCTCAGAAGCCCTGCCGCACCCCCTGCCCGTGCCCCGCGCCTCCTCGCACCTGCCGCCCCGCAAATCAGCGTGTTCGTAGTGGATTTGCTGCTTCTCACTGTCCCCCCACCGACACTGCCCTGACTTAGACAGGCTCTGTCTGGGACTTCCTTTCTCTTGTCCATCCTTGACCCCACAGCGAGGACCGGCGGGCGACACATAGCGGTCATGCGACACATCTTTGTAGAAAAGAACCAAACCAGGGGCACCGGGGGTGGCGGGGGGTCCGCAATGGGCCTCTGCCTTCGGCCCAGAGCGTAACCCCGGAGTCCTGGGATCAAGTCCCACATCAGGCTCCTGCACGGAGCCTGCTTCTCCCTCTGCCTGCGTCTCTGCCCCTCTCTCTGTGTCTCCCGTGAATAAATAAATAAAATATTTAAATTTTTTAAAATCAACAAATAAATAGCAGTAAGGCTGATACTAATGGAGGGCTTGCTCTGTGCCAGGTATCCTAACCCGCACGTGGGATGGCTTCCCTCCCCGGAGCCACGCTGCCGGTTATTTCCCCCTCTTCTGTTATTTCCCCCTTTTCTGCAGATGGGGAAACCGAGTCACCACATTTGGGAACCCAGACTACGGACTATGAGGGCCAAGGCCAGGAAAACCACGACAGATCGAGTCTCCCGCTTTTCTAGACGCCGACCCCGCAGGTAGGAATCATCCACCTGCAGGTCCCTCTCCTCCTGAGCACGGAGGCTGGCAACCGCTCTTCCTCATGCGAGAGACCTAACCTTCTGGAGTCCCAGCGTCACCACCGGTCCCCGTGGGCAACGTTGATGCCGATTCCCCGGGATCCGTTTCTATCTGTTTTATTAAATGCACACCCCAGGAACCACGCACAGAACCCGACTGTGTCATATGAGTGGTTGCCCGTCTCTCCAAGGTAACAAGACGTATAGAGACAGGTCATCTAAGCTCACATTCTGCAGTTTTGCTCATTTGTACTAATTTGCGAATTGGCCGCGTGTCTCTTTGCTGTCGCTGGTTCCAGCAGGTAGGAGGTGATGGGGCTCGAACTTCAGAATAACTCGCTCCTAACTCGACAGCACGTCGGTGCGCGCTGTGCGGACAGGAAGCAGGGCGAGCAGAGCAAGGGTGGGTTTTTTTTTTTCCTCTTAACTGAGAAAGTAAATCATCTTTTCCTTTGGTGGCTGCGAGCCCGGCGCAGCTTGAGCAACACCCCCGAGGGCTCGGGAACCTGTTGGCTAATGCGTTACCCAACACGGGCGTGCAGACCCGCGGACAACACGGGCAATGCGCTGCCGCGAGCGCGGTGTCGGCACAGCTGGACCCTCCCGGTTCGCACGTTCCCACCGGGCCCTCAGCCCTTGGGAGGAGGAGGACAGAAGCCACGACTCACCCACGTTATCAACAGCTCCAGGAGGCAATGGAGGACCCGCAGCCTCACAGGGTGGCTGACGGCCGCGGGGATGTCGGCGCGGAGGAGGTGGCTGCAGACTACCCAGAGCCCCACCCCCAGGGAGAAGGCGCAGGCCGCCTGCAGGACAACCAGGAGCAGGGCCATCGCTGCGCCAGCGCCGGCGGCCCAGCGGGAGGCCGTGCGAGAGCGGCCACGGGCCAGCGCTGGAGCCGGTGATGCTCCCGCACTTATACACCACACCCTGCCCTCCCCACCTGCCCGTCCCCACAGCATTGGCCAGGCCAGGTGAGTCACAGACTCAGGTGAGGACGTAGTTCTAGGACAGGGCCCGTGCGGAGGACACAGAGGCTCATGCAGCCTGACTCAGCTAAAAAGGAGAGCTCCGGAGTTCCAGCGAGCGTCCCGGAGTGCCCTTCCCGGAAATGGCCCTGGGGAGGTCACCCTGCACATCACAAACACCATTCCCTCCCACTGCGCTCTGCGGGTACCCACCACCCCCCTCATTCCGCTCTGGCCACACTTGCTATTCCTTAGTCTGTCAAGGAGGCCCCAGGGCATTTGCACCTGCTATTCTCTGTGCAACAGTGTTCCCCGGATGGCCAAGCAAAACCCCTCGCCTACAGGTCTCTGCTCAAATGCCACCTTCTGAGGGAGGCTGGGCCTGGCCACCTTATTTAAAGGTCTAACTCCCCTCCAGCATCCCTCTGCCTGATCCACACCCCCCCCCATGTCCTCACTTTGTCTTCCAGGCCTTTATTATCACCCCAAATACCACACGCTTCACTTATTCCTTTATTGCCCGTGGCACGTCGCCTCTGTGAGGACGGGAGTTGTGTGCCGCCCCTTCCTCAGAGGCTGGGTCAGGGTCAGCTACTTGCTGGGTGCTCAGCAAATGTCTATTGAATGAAGGAACCAATAGACGAGCTTTGTCCTTTTCGCTGAAAAGCAGGAAACACTGAGCTCACCTGCCTTCCCAGGTTGGGTCGGAGATTGATGTCAGCGTCCAGCGCTTCCCTGATGGCCCCGCCTCAGGTGCATGGTCCTAGGTGCCTGCCCCCCGTGCGCCTCCCTGCGGCACCTCATGGGTAGACGCCGCCGGGGATGTTGCTCAACATCCTACAACGCGCACATGACCCCACAATGAGGACTCACCTGGCCCAGCAGGTGGGGAGGCCCCAGGAGGAAAGGCCTGCGTTCGTGATACTTGGATTTGAATCTCGGCTCTGCTCAAGCCCGCAGTTTCGCCGTGAACGAGTTCCTTACCCTCCCTGAGCCTCGGCTCCCAAGACTCTAAGTTTGGGACAATAACCGCCCCTCCACGTAGTTCAGTGCGCGTCTCTGTGAACCCAGTGAAATAGAACATCGTTGCATATTTTATTGGTTATTTGGGTTTTTTTTTTCCTTTATGGACTCATGCGAATTTATTTTGTGCGCTTGTACCCTCTACCTATTTCACTATTTTTGTTTATCCTCTTACGCTGATTTCAAAAAAATTTGCGATCACAGTACTTGCAGGGTGGCGGATGGGGACTACACGTATGTGGCGAGCACGGAGTAACGTGTGCGATTGCTGAGTCTCCGTATCGTACACCTGGAACCCATAGAACACCATATGGCAGTTAGAGTTCAGTTAAAAAAATTAATTAATTAATATTTTTAAGGATATTTTTTTCTATTTGCCTTTCAGCTCTGTGAATGCTGTTTTTCTGGGTAGATGTTTATCACTGTTATGCCGTGAAATCCCTCATCCGTTCTCACATTATGCTTAGAAGGATCTTATGGTTTTGTGAAACCATATGGCACTGATTTTGAAAAGGAAGAATTTCTTTGTCAAAACATAAATATCTGAGGCACCTGGGTGGCTCCGTCAGTTGAACGTCTGCCTTGGGCTCAGGTCATGACCCCAGGGTCCTGGGATCGAGTCCCGCATCGGTTCCAGGCTTGGTGAGAGCCTGCTTGTCCCTCTGCCTCTGCTTGCCGCTCCCCCTACTTGTGCACGATCTCTGGCCCCCGTAAGTCAGATTTTCAGGGGATTAAAGACCTGTCTCCCCCTCCCAACAGAGACATCTGTGGGTCTGGTGGGCAACGGAGCCGCTCGGTGATTACGGGACCCGGCTTCTTTCCACCTGAGGCTCGCGGCCCTAGCACCTGCCCTGACACCCCGAACCTTGCCGGGAGCCCGAGGAGCAGTCCGCTCGTGGAGGAACCCGGGCAGGAGAACTCGAGGGCCAGGCCTGGAAATGCATCCCCTTGGCCAGATGGCCTGACGTGGCCTCACCTGGACCCGTGGGATCCCGGGGAAGGCCAGGCTTCGCCTGCGGAGGACGAAAATGAAGCTGCTGAATCCACAGGCTCTTCCCGGCGGCAGCCTGTGGCCCCCCAGGTGGGAGGAGGCCCAATGCGGCGCCTTGAAACCCCCGACCACGTGGCAGGAGCAGGCACCGAGGGCGGGGGGGGGCTGTCAGGAACCCAGAACCTGCCAGCGTCCCAGGAAACCCCTGCCGTCTGGGCGCTGGGGAGCTCAGAAGCCAGACGTGGAGGCCTCTGGTGGCCGGTGCTTCCCCGCCCGCCGCGTCTGCTCTGCTGCCTCCCGGCTCACGGGACCCCTTCTCCGGGCCGCCAGGGCACCTGGCCCCCACCCCAGGACACACTGCAGAACAGGGAGGAGGGTGCACGTGAAGTGAACGCGAGGGTGATAGTGACCCAGAGCCTCGAAGCCCAACCATGGGGCCGAGGGCTCCCTGGGCCAAGGTCAGGTGGCCCTGTGACACATCCTTGCCCTGCCCACGCTCCCGAGTGCTCGTCACAGAACTGCTAGCAGTCTTTTCCTCTGCGTGTTTTGCCGCAGTTGTTCGGCACAGATGGTACACCTGCTGTGGAAGCCACCTGTCCCCGACTGCCGGGGCTGCTCTAACAAAGGACCCCAGGCCGGGGGGCAGGGGCTTAGCCACCGAGGTTTAGGGCACCCCCGCTTCTGGAGGCTGGAGTCTAAGGCATCTGCAGAGCTGGCTTAGTGGGCTCTGCAAGAAAGAGCTGTTCCGGGGGCTCTTCCATCTATACACACCCCCCGCCGGCCGCGGTAATTCTGCTACAGCTGCCTGCACCGACTCACATTAGGACAATGCACAAAGCCTGCACAGGTGAGCACAGCTGGTGACATCGGGGCTCTGTCCTCCTCCCCTCGGATCGGGGCTGCGTGGTGGGCTCCCTGTCTGCTAAGCCACCCCATGGGGGCAGGGCCGACTCGTCCTCCTCCCTAGGCCCCCATGCTGCTGTGCTCCCCCGTGCAGGCCCTGCAGGAAAGCGGAGGGCACAGGATCCTGCCGGTGGGGTCCCCGCGGGTCAGCTTCCCAGGAGGAAGTGGGGGGCCACCGGCAGGGCCGAGGTGGATGCCCAGCACAGGGGTATTTGCCCCTCCAGCCCCTTGGCTCCTAGTCTGTTGGTGCTGAGCTCGCAGAGGCGGGGGGACCACGTTCTCCTTTCCCACGGCTGCTGTCACAAATGTCGGGCTTTAAAATGACACCAGTCCGTCCTCGCAAAGCTCTGGAGGCAGGAGCCGTAAATCAAGGTGTCGGCAAGGCTGGGTTCCTGTTAGAGACCCACGCCTGCTCCCTGTCCTTTCCCGGCTTCTGGAGGCTCCCACGTTCCTGGGCTCGGGCGCTCCCCGCAGCCCTGCTGTCGGCCCACCTGCCCCCCGACGCCCACCTCTCCCGTCTCCCTCTTCGGGTGCCCGTGACTACCTCGCGCCCACTTGCATGGTCCAGGGGAATCTCCCCACCTCAAAATACTTAACGTCACCACGTGCGCAAAGTCCCTTTCGCCGCATAAGGTAACGCAGTTGCAGGTTCCGGGGATCGGGATGTGAGCGGCTCTGGGGGTGCTGCTTCAGCCTCGGGGCCTTTGGCTTTGAGAGGTAAGCGCGGGAGGTTTGCCTTCCAGACGCCGCCGCCCACTCCAGGAGCTCTTGCTCTTCCGATTAGGGTCGCCAGTGAGCCCCACCGAACTCCGAACTCCGGCAGCTTCCAAGGACGTCGGAGACTCCGCTCCTTCCTCAGGAAGTTCTCTGAGAATGACTTGTCTGATGCTTGCCAGGAGCGGGGAGTGCGGGCAGCGAAAATGGATGAAGGGGGTCAAAAGGCACAGACTTCCAGTTATTTGTTTTTAAAGATTTTATCTATTTATTCATGAGAGAGAGAGAGAGGCAGAGACACAGGCAGAGGGAGAAGCAGGCTCCATGCAGGGAGCCCGACGTGGGACTCAATCCCGGGACCCCAGGACCAGGCCCTGGGCTGAAGGCGGCGCTAAACCGCTGAGCCACCCGGGCACCCCCCAAACTTCCAGTTATAAGAGATATAAGCCTGAGGGCCGTGAGGACCCCGTGAGCAGCACTGCGGGCTGCAGGCCGGCCGCCGAGGGAGGACCCTCCAGACCCTCATCACAGGACAGAGAAATCAAACTACGGGCGACGACGGAGATTAACTAAACTCTTTCTGGTGATCATTTTGCAACGTGTCTGCATACACATTTGGAATCACTACGTCTACACCCAAAACGAATGCACTGCTGTCCGTCCGTCCATTGCATCTCAATAAAAAAACGAATAATTACCTGCCTCGAGTGTGGCCTATTGTTGGCCCTTGTCGGGGGTGTGCTTGTCTCCTTTGCTTCCTTCCTTCCATCTTCCGACCGTGTGCACCTCTGTGCATGTTTGACTTCTTTGCACGTGAAAATCCTCAGTGAAAAGAACCATCGGTGACAAACCACGAGAGACCCCTAACTCCGCGGAACAAACAAAGGGTAGTGGAAGGGGAGGTGGGTAAGGAGACGGGGTGACCCGGTGACAGGCACTGAGGAGGACACGTGCTGGGATGAGCACTGGGTGTGATACTACAGGTTGGGAAATTGAATTAAATTTTAAAAAATGTAAAATTAAAAAAAAAAACCATCAGGAATCTTTAACTTTTTTTTCCCAGCTTCCAAGTGAATAAAGGGGGAAGGTATGGAAAAAATGACTAGAATAATCCTCCTTAGTAGAGTTTCTGTCTTCAGAACTTGCTCCATAAATGGATACCGAGACGTCCGTCTCCTTCCCCACCTTCACGCCCACTGCGAAGGGCTCTTAGTCCCCTAGGAAAATCCAGCCGCGCTGGGGAAGGAAGTGAGGGCGAAGGGGCGGGGGAGCGGCGGGGCAGGTGTGCACGTTCTAAGGGAAAAATG